TTCTTCGAAATATGGAACTATCAAGGTACAGACCCTTTTTCATAGATGGTATATAAAGTATGCATTTTTTCAAATCTTCGTATCTCGGAGAGACGTTGTCGGAAACTTCTGATCATTTTTATGCAAGCTAGTCTAGCTGTGGCCTTTATGTGGGACAGGTTTCAGATCAAAATTCAAAAATATAGCTTTGCTGCAAAAGTGGGGTGTTATAGAAAAAAGACACTAAAAACTCGATATCTCGTCAGAAACAAGCCAGGGAGACGAACTTTTTTTACCATAGACATAGCTCACTATAGGCTACAAGATGCGCAAAACTCCGACTGAAAAGCACTCTGGCACCTGGGAAAGTTCCCTTGTTAGTGAAACCGTTTTGTAAGCTAAAATAAGCAGCTTATTTGAGTGAAGCGGCTTTTAGCGGGTTAAGACGAGAATATTTAAGCGCTTTACAGCAGCTTATAGAAGCATAAGCCTTTTTAAGCTTCTTGCAAATAGCTTACAAAGGCAAAAATTTTCATATGGGTACTTGTTGAGGACTTTAATTAAAGCATGTTTATACCTACATGGACCTTTGCGGATGTCTCTATCTGAGTCAGTCTAGAGTTAAGTAAATTAATTCCTTATGAGCGTTACTTATGCGGATTAACTATGAAAAAAGTTGTTCAACTATAATTAATTCTATTGTGTTGATTGATAAAGGCGTCATTCAAAAAATAACTTCATAAAATGCATTTCTTTATACTTGTTGGTCGTATACTAACGAGATATTTTTTGTTTTATTATTTTTATTATGACAGAATCAAGGAGTACGGCGTGAAAAATACGTATTTTGATAAAGGTGAACAAAAATGAAATTTTTTCTTTTTCGCCACGTGCCAAAATAAACACATCTACTGCGTCTGAAGTTCTTTTTTCTTGTTGCCTTGAGATCAATAGAAACTGACGAAGAGAAAGGAAAAAAAATCACTCCGAGAATAAAGATCTATTTAGTTTTAGCTGTGAAAAGAAAGACATCGTGCCGTCGTAACGACATTTATTGTCAACAACTAGTATTACAAGTCAGGCAGAACAACCACATCACTGCTACGTTTATTCAAAGCTGCTTGGCATTTGCATAAATATAAATTTTGCATCTTTAAAAAAAACACCAAACAAGTGTAGTTTATCATTTAGTGCTGCTTCCTGTGTAAGTATAAGATTACATCCTGTTCCACGATTTAGCACATAATGTGACCAATACTAATACTCTCAAGCACTCGAACATTTCTTTACACTGCTAGACTAAAATCAACAGATCGAGATCCTAAGAATTTAATGAATTTTTATGGCGTTTTCCAGTAGTTTTAATTCTCATTCTTACACTACATAGTATTATCGTAGACTTTTTGTCCACACTCTCGAGTTTTATATTATTCTCGTTAATATATATGCTACATTTAATTTTCACGGAAATTGATTATTGAATGGTTACACATCATGCCATAAGAAGACTGTTTTGTACGAAAGAATTTCTTTGTTTTTGTGTAGTAGAACATTAAACAGTAGCTGAGGAGACACATCATCAAAATGGCATTTAGCGGACAACAGATCACCAATCAGAGACGCGATTCAATTGCATCCGTAAGTCAGTATGAATAGAATTGAAGTGACACAATAATTTTTGCCGTTGCAGACTATTTCCTTGTGGGATAAATTGCCTGAAGTAAACCCTGTTGCCATCCATATTGCCAATGAAAATGATTTTCTTGATGAAGATGATCTTACGGAGAATGACACTGAAGATGAATTTGAAGCTTTAAACGTTGTTAGTAATTCATCAAGACTTTTACACAAACGTTTTACATCAAGCTCAAATCTTGAAAATATACATCAAAATACTTCATTATGGATTCTTGAAGAGTATGATCAGGTTAAACTTATCGTAGACAAGATACATGCCGAAGATGTTAAAACAGAACTTCAAAGACGTTTATCAAGTCAAGACATCCGATGGACGGCGAACGACGACGAGCAAACTCGTTCATGGCACTTTGGTCTATCATTCGTACGCTTCCAACTGGAACGTTTGTATCTGATTGATATAATGAGACTTACTTTTATCCGGTCTTTTCCTTTTTGGCTCAGATTCAAAAATAGCATGCAGCAACAACGACGTGTCAAATCAAATTCTGAACGTATTAAGCCGATTCGATATGGATATTTGCCACCTTATCGTGTTTTCCTTCGTTATGGTGCACTAACCAAACTCAATGAATTTCACTATTCTTTAGAACATTCATGGTCAAACCAACCGAAAACCAGATGGTCACTCTTTATAAAGAATGATTATTTTGGAGGATGCATTGAATGGGTGATGGAAGAACCTAGAGAACGAAAAAAGAAACAATTGTTAGCAACTAATATTGATCGAACCATCATCTTTCATTTGTTACCAGATGGATTTGCAATGTATATTTGTCAGACGTGTAACATGAATGAATATAGAGCAAAATCCATCTTTAATAATGTCGTCAGAAGACAGTGTCGTCCGCAAAATTCTCCTCGTCGTTCGGGTCCAATGCGTCCTGCATTTGCAGATGATCAACTACCGCAAAGATTCTCTTACGAAAAAGATAAACGTTCAAGCATCCGTAATGGACTCTATTTTCCGACTGTTCAATTTGAACTACGTATAGATCCAGACCATTTAACGAAAGAAAATGCTCAAAAGACGGTTCGACAAACATATAAATTGCTGACTAACTTTTTTACTTCACACAATATCTCCATTTGTCATGGTATGATTGACGCACGCCAAGGCCCACAAGTTAATTCGTTTCCTACTCTAAAATTACCTACTCTTATCATGCAATATTCATGGCAAATGCTTTTGAATATCGGCTATCGTTTACAAGTTCAAATGGATCAACAATTTCGTGATGATCTATGTCAATTGAGTAGAGAAAAAATAAATGCTGATGATCTATTTTATCGTGTGTGTGTTTATCTTTCGCGTCTATTTACACTTGAACCTTTCGTCAATTTGTCAGAAAAATTATATGATGCTGTAATAGAATCAAAACGTAAACGAGAAGAAAGTGCTTTTGGATTGATCAATAGTTTGGATTCAGAATGCAACACAGAAACTTATGTACCATCAGTTGCATTGACACCGACAACCATTCGAATAAAACCATTGAAATTGTGTCGAACGAATCGAGTTCTTCGAGCGGAACAAGAATTTGGCAAAGCATTGGAGCATTTTGTTCTTGTCAATATTTGTGATGAAAATGGTCAACGATTACAATCGTTTCATTTTCGAGATTTACGTCATCTTTTTCTGGACTATTTACAAAATGGTTTTACTCTAATGGATACTAATCGATTTTATCGATACTTACATCATTCAAAATCACAATTACGTACCAATCAATTTTGGTTTTATTATCATCAACCAGGCTTAAATCGGTCATTTGACGAAGCTTATAATTGGATGGGGAATTTTGACAAAGAACGGAACGTAGCAAAATATGCTTCTCGTGTAGCTTTGTGTTTTTCAACAACGACTCCTACTATTAATGTAATGTCTTTTCGTATTAGTACATTGCTGATTATCATCAATATTCTGATGTCTTGTTTAGATAGATGACAAAAATGTTCACAAAATAAACGACATCATGACAGCAGATAGAAAATTAGCATTCACAGATGGATGTGGTACTATGTCAGAACAATTGAGAGATGATGTAAGTATGTGAAGCTGTACATGTTGAATTTTGATTTTTCTCTATCACAGATACAAAAACAACTTGGTAAGCGACCCTTCAGTGTCGTTCAGTTTCGATTTGCAGGTGCTAAAGGTGTTGTTAGTGTCGATCCACTTCTGGGATTAGGTCATCATCTATGTATTCGTCCTAGTATGAACAAATTCGAGAGTAAACATCGATGTTTCGAAGTATGTAAAATTTCTGCACCTCGATCACTCTATCTCAACCGACAAGCCATTCTTCTTCTATCTTATCGACGGATATCCGATAATGTATTTCTTATTCTTCAACAACGTAATCATTTGACGCTTATTCGAGCTCTATTAAGAAACAATGATGCCAAAAATTTGCTTGACGAAAAACTACCATACTGGTTTTTGCCATATGATGTAAAGATTGATTTTGTTCGCGAACCATTCTTTCAACAACTAGTAATAGCTGCATGTCTTATTTCAATACGAGAACTACTTCGACGAACACGTATTCGTGTTCCACGCAACAAAGCTCGAAATATGTTTGGTATTATAGACGAGTACAATGTGTTAAAATCTGATGAAGTTTTTATTCAATACACTCGACTTAATGATCATGAAGATAAAGACGACCATGGCAAGCATCAAAATACAAGAACTCTTCACAATTGCAAGGTTGTTATCACAAAAAATCCTTGCCATCATCCGGGAGATATTCGAACATTTACTGCCGTCGATCATGAAGCATTAAAACATCTCAGAGATGTTATTGTCTTTTCTCAGCAAGGTGATTGTCCAGCATCACATCAAATCAGTGGATCTGATCTTGATGGTGATGAATATGCAGTGATATGGCATCAAGATCTTGTTCCAGGTCAAACTCCCAATGCTCCATCCTACGACTACGATTCACAAACACTACCTGCAGCACTTGATCGACCTGTGGATAGAAATGATATAAATAATGTTGTATTGCGAATAGCCGAGAGTGATTTTTTAGGACAATTGTCAAATTTACATTTGGCATATGCCGATCGTTACGGTGTAGACAGTAACGAAAGACCGGAGAAAGATGTTTTATCAACAATCGAACTAGCTGGAGTAATTAGTCAAGAAGTCGATAGTGGAACAACTGGACAACATCCATTAGATGATAATCAGATAATGAAACAAAGAAAAGCATTGAGGGATGAACGACCAGATTTTATGGAGAATGCCAATATGAAATCATATCCATCGAAAAAAATACTTGGTAAATATACATTTCAAAAGTATTTTAGAAAAGAATGAGGGAAAAAAAAGAAAATTTGAGGTGTAATACAAACTTCAAAAATCGAGAAATTTCTCTTGTGTAAGATTTTTCATGAACAAAAACGTTGTCTTGCGATAAAAGAATATTCTATTCATTTCTTTTCTTCTTATAGGAAAACTCTATCGTTCATCACGTCGAATGTTACCTGGATGGAATCGACTTCTTCGACGACATAGTCATTTACGTCATTTACAAGTTCGAACTCCTGAAGATGATGAAATAGACTATGAAGAAGAGCAGGATGAAAATGCTGACGATAGTCAAAAAAACATGATTACATTAGATTTGTCTCTACTTAATACAAATCCATCCAGGCAAGATCAGGAAATATCAGCAATCGCATTTCAATTATTTTATGTCTATCGGCAAGAAATGCTTGAAATTCTAAATTTATATGGGCTTTCACATGAAAGCGATTTATGGTGTCGAAAATCAACGAATACTACTGGTGGAGAACTTGAAGACACAGCTTATACTCAACTCGAACAACTCGTTGTACGTACACGTAATGCTTTCTTCTTACGCTTAGTATCTTTCTGTCCGGACAATGGAAATATGTGTAATGAAAATACAGCTTTCGAAAACTTATGTCCAGAATGCCAAAAAATGCACAATGCTGTAGCTGCTGCATTGTATCGAGAATGTTATAGTGGACAAAATGGATCGGAACGCGCACCAATTCTAAGTTTACCATGGTTATTTACTGCAGCACTTATAAAGACACGTCAAAGAGAATTACCATCATTGCAAGGTTTGCTTAGTGTGGCGATGAAAGCTGCACTCCACGATATGATTAATAAACATTTATTACAGTTAGGAGGACTAACAGTGATATTTCGAACATCGAACAATTATCGAATCGAAGCAAGTGTACATTGGACTGTTTGTGTTTTTGTTGAAATTCTTCACTATTGTCTCAAATCAAAGTATTTTTCTTCATGGCCAATGATCCTTAGTCAATTCATACGTAAAACATCTTCCTTGCAACAGCACAATGCAATGGATGAATGGTCATTGGTCTTTGATGATGGAAAAGAGAACAATTTGTATGCTGGCATACTCATATCGATGGAATGGACCGAGAAAGACGATGAATTAATGCATTCATATTTTGTTCAATTACTCGAAATTTGCTTTGATCTTGGTCAAAGCATGATCGATGATAACAATGAGTATCTTCGAATCAGTGAAGAAATCATTCTTATACTCCAACGAGTGGCGATCGACGAAACTCCATGGCCGGAAAATCGCAGAGAATGCGATTGAAGCAAACTTATATTTTGAGGACGTTCACATTGCACCTTACAATAAAAACTAGAAACGATAATTCACAATAAAATCATGAATAAATCCATATATAATTCTCTAATATATATTGATTTCGTCGATTTGAAATAATCTTTGAAACGTAGATTCTATGGCATTGAATTAAGCAACTGTTTTTTGCTATACTGTTACTTTTTATCATTTATTCGCGAATTAAACATACGTAATTGAATCGAAGAATTGGTGATTTTTGTTATTGAATATATGCCTTAAAAATTTAGGCGATTGCGGTGATTTCCTAAAAAAAAGTCGCATAGAATCCTGCTTAATCGGATTTCATTGCGGTTATGACAGAAAAAAATTGTTTTAGAAAAGACTGAGAAAGGTTGTAGGTAAAGAATACAAAAATTGAAACGATTTGCTTCGAGTCTAATGTTGTAAAGAGATAACTACGTTTTGGTAATCCTAAGCATAAATTCCGGAATATTCAATATCATGATTCAGTACATATTATCCTAATTGAATATTTATGCTGAAAAAAGCTGCAAATTGTTTGTTACTTTGGGCCACTCTCTTATTTTTACGAAGCAACTTACGGTGAGTATGATGTATGGGGAAAAAGTGACAAAACAATCTACTAATTTATTGATTGTGCCATAGTAAATGAAGTTAGTTAGAAAAAACATCTAGAACTCCAGTTGATACTTGTACTAAATTATTTCAGATGAATGTTTCTTTGAATAAGACTCTTAATATTTCTACTCTTAATATGAAACATGTCATAGAGCAGTGTTCAGATTTCTGAAAAGAAAATATTGCAGGATTCCTTTTGTTTTTCTTTTAAATTTTAAGTACGTCTTCACATACATTTGATAAATCGATAAAAATATATTTATATTTCATTTACGACTTGAATATCACGGTGTGGGTGTTGGTGAGGAGAAGACGCATACACGTACCCACACCCACACCCTCAACTTTTCAATAGTCAGTACTTATACAACGTTAAATAGATCATTATTGGATTTCCAATGTCAAACACTTCCGATCGAAGTCGAATATCAATAGGATAAGTCTAACACATTGAAGTTCTTGTTTTTTGAAAACAGGTTCTAGATAATCAACATGATCTGTCGTTTGCCATATTCAATTAACTAGTCAATTATTTCTCTCTTACATTTCTTTGAAATTTGAAGTAACAATACTAACAAAATTATACATAGGTCAACAATGGCTTGAGTAGTTTCTCAATGCAGCGAGTAATTTATCTGAATAACAATTATCCTCGAAAGTAAAGAAGATTTACTCAAAGAAATGTTCAATAAAAAGAAAGAAGAACAATTTGAACGTTATTCTCTCTTTTCAATTATTAATATTCTCAAGGAATGAAATTTCAAGCTTTTTGGGGAACCAGAAAACACTATCGTACAAAAAGTCGTTCATGTTGATATTAAAGACCAATACGTTGAGTTAGGTTAAAGAATCAACCGAAATATATACATATATTTCTATATGCACAGAGAAGCAATAAACCTTGATTATTAAGAAATTTCACTGGATATGATCAAACATAGATTATTATGTTCGCTTGTCAATGTGTCCAATTAAGTATCGGCAGTAGACTTTAAAGATTGAAGTCCCTTTTCCGTATCACTACCACATTCACCCTAAACAGTCATGACTATTTTAATAAACATTCCACTGAGAGAAGTATTTTTGAAAAAACTCCAAACAAATAGTTTTGATTTGAAGTTTTGTTTATAAGTAAGCCTGATAGTCTTAAAATGTTCAACGAAAAACGACCATGTCTTTCTGGAAATTTTCAATATTCAAAAGAATTAGCAGTTTATCAGAGAAGGATGCAGCAATCGAATCAGCTTGAAAATCCAATACATTGACGAATACTTGATCATTTTCTTTGTTGCTCTCAGGAACAATTTCATTACAACAGACTTGATTATTTATCAGGATTTCATGAAGTCATCTGACCTAGTCTTTCTAAGACCTAACCGTAGTCATAAGATGAGTACAAGTGGTCTTCAACAATTGCATACGTTTTCTAGTTAGTTTTTTTTTATTATCGACTGATTAGCTTGAATTGAAAAAAACATCATGAAACACTAATAACAAAGCCATACCCTAAATATCTGTTTCAAATTATTCAATTCTTTATTTTTATTAACAAAAAAAAAAACGAGACAAACATCAATGAAAACAATTTTCAGATTTTCTGTTATTTTGATGATGTTGGTGGAATTAGTGAATTCAAAGAAATATCATTTTATGTTCGCTGTTCTTTGAAAGCATCAACTAATTTTTGTGCCAACGGATTCGAAACCTTATGATTGAGTAGTAAATGACGTTTTAATGACTTAAGTGGAATTAATCGACATCGACATGGTACAGTTACTACATTTTGTCGAGTAGATCTTAATGAATTAATTTGTTCATTAAACAGAGGACATGAGACTTTATAAAAATGATCGATTACATTTTCATTTTCATCAAATAATTTTGTTATCCAAGGATCTTGATTGTCGGCAACAGCTCGTATCAAACGTTTAGCATAGACTTCTTTTAATTCATGTTTGCTTATAAAATGGCCATATAATTCGATTCGATTATATTTTCTATGTTCACAAAATTTAATAGAATGATTTGCTTTAGTAAGACCATATGCTCCATTGAATGTTAACGGACATTCACCAAAAATTTTTCTGTATGATGTTCGTTTACGCTCCTCTTCTTCTTCATTTACATGTTGATCCTGAAAAAATATCATGAATGTTTAAATATCATGTAGAATTTATTTCATAAAAAAAAATAAAACTAATTTAGATTCATAAGCATAACAATATAAGGAAGGATGCAGTATGATATTCATGCAAACTGATTTTACATAGTATACGACTGAAAATGAAATGTTTTATATTGAAAATAGGATTTTGCTACGAAGCAGAGTTTATTAATGAAAATTTTAAAATTCTCTAATTCATCTGTACAAAATGAATTTCAATAGTAAATTTGTACTTTGGTTAATTAGCTTGAAGAGCAAATCTGTGAGATACGAATATTTCACACATTTGAAAAACATCAAATTATTCTCTTAGAACTTCATTGATTCAGAAATTTACTTTTCTAAATAACCTGTATTGAATATATTGCTTTTATTTAATGCTAATATTTTTCTAATTTAACCATTTTTTATCACTAGTTTTAGAATGAAATTTTGCCAAGAAACATCATGTTCATGATTCCTAATTTAAACAGAAAAATTTTGAATCAAGTTTCTTTAAATGTCAAAAAGTTTAGACAAATTCGGGTATATATATAATATATACACGATTATTTCGTGTACAAAGCTGCAAGGAGAAACAAATGCAAACTGTTCCTTATACTGCTATGTCAAATGAGTAATTACATACGATATGGCAATATTTGATATATTTCAATTCAAAAATTGACTTTATCGACCCTTTCATCTACATAATTATTTTTACCTCAATAGATTGTGTTGTTTCGCTAAAAGAAAGAAAAATAAGCAATCGGTTTCGAATCTTTTCTAATAAAAAAAGAAACTTACTCGAATGAAACAATATCAATAAAATCATGATTGATATCCGTTGAATATTCATTATCTTGAACCAATCATATTTGTTTTTCATTTTAAAATTAAAGAGAATTTAACTTACTTTTTGAAATTTCCGATTCGTCTGCTACATCTAAACACACAAAAAAGCCTATATATTTTCAAGACTTTTTTTTTTATCCTACAAGGGACTTGTATAAACTACTCTCCACCATTTAAACTCATAGTAGACCAACAATAAAAACTCGCTAAGAGTAGAAAAAACTTCAAAGCGGTCATGCGCATAAGCCGGTTTAGAGAATTTTCGACTCATCTTTTAGTATTTAATTAAAAATAAATTAACCGAATTTTGCCCATTGATCGATTTAATGATGAACCTGAAATCTACAACGAAAACAAGGCACATTCATTGAGATATTAAATTTGTCAGAAATAGGCATTGGCCAAAATTAAATTCACTTGGAAACACAATATCTCGATATTCTGAGGGTCATCAAACTTATACCTATGGGCACTTGCAGATCGAAAATTCGATACAACAGTTATGACTTGGCTGATGAACTACAACTACTTTTACTAAGAAATTTTTCTGCTTTCAGCATAAATAAATTCCACTAGTTCTCTCGTCAGGACACCAATATCTATGGTTCGATCGAAACAAACAAGAATAAATTCAATGAAAAGAAAAAAAAATATTTTAGAGAGAAATTTCATCTTACTATTTGAATTCGTGTTTTCTTTATTACATTTGCAAACACAAGAACAATATTTAGTTCCTGATAATAAAGGTTCGACTTTCAACATGGTTTCTTCTTTAACAAAAAAAAAAAAGAAAAACATACAAAAAAAAACATGATTATATAATTTATTTTTTTTACCTGAACGATTTGATGCTATTGTTTGATTAATTTGTTCGAAAACACGTTGTAGATCATCAATTGAAGTACTGGATATATCAAGAAATGTTTTTGCTTGTTCAATCAAATTTTGTTCGCGTTCAATAGTTAAAAATTTTTCTTCAACAATTAGTTGAAGTGTATTTATAACTGTATTTAATTCATTACGAAGATCATCTAATTGTTGTTTATTTTGTTTTGTTATTTCAACATGTTCATTCAAATGATATAAACAAACAAGACGTAAACAACAATGACATTCATATAATTCTTTGATTTCATTATCACATGTTATATCAGTACATGAACCTATTTCGGGCATTTCTGAAAAACAAAAACAAAAAAAAAAAAGAAATACGAATATTTATATCTGTAACATTTGTTAAAATATAGTGGTTATCAACATGGACGAAATCTTTTACATAATTGACTGACTAACGATAACACATGCATATGAAAGAAAAAGAGAGAAGAGAAAAAAACGAAAGAGAATCCAGAACATAATTTTATCAGCCTGCTTTTTTATCGAATAATTTAGTTCGACTACTAGTCAGTAAATTTTGATAACAAAATTCATTAATGGCAGTTAACATATAATAAAAATTTTTTAAAATGAATTTTCACATGTTGGGAAAACTTTATTGTCAGTCTGTTAAATAAATAAAGATTTCGATATATTTAAAAGAGATGCTTCATGTCTTAGTCAAGAAATCATGCTATATAAAATGTGTTAATCTATCTTGTTCGTCATCAGAGATGAAAGAGCATGTTGAAGGATATAGAAATTCTCAATTTTAGCCTTCTCAGAGCCAATTTTCAACGGATACGAAAATACACTCAGAGAGTTCTAAACTAAATATCATGCCTTTTTTTATTTGCAGCACATGATTTTTTTTTTCTAAAAACTTAATTGCATTGAGTCAAATTTCGCTCTACAGAAGTGAATTTTAATAAGGATTTTTTAATCTATCTGTGGTTTATTCTTTCATGTATTTATGGAAGAGACACAACATAAAGAGAATAGGAGAGTGCCAAGACTGTCTAATGAGTATTACACGAACATAGATGTTTATATATGCATGCGAAGAAAAAGAGCGACAGAGAGAGATAGAGAGAAAATGACAATACAAAGAACGACTTCTGACAGCGATGAATGTATGACCGGTGACTCCCTCATCATATTCAAGTTTTCTTTGAATAATTTAAAAAAAATTTCTATGAAAAATGAACATTTGAAAGAAAAGCGGCAAAACATCAAAAATCAAAATTTCGAATATCAATGTATCGAAGAGTTAAACTGTTGCTTTGCTTTGTTGAGTGGTAGAATATTTAGATCTTTTTATTCTTCTTGAATGCAAAAATAAAAAGACTAGATGGAAGTTTTATTATATTTTCAATTCAAATACACGCTGACAGAATTTTGACACAGACATAAAAACTAATGAATTTATCTTTTATTTTTTTACATCTGGTGCTACCAAAAAAGACAATTCTTGTGAATTTGTTTGAGCATCGATTTCTGCATTATCAAGTCAAATTGAGAATGCTTTAGGTCTATTTTACATATACTTTTTCGATTTTGTTTTACGTGTGGGATGTAAGTACCAGTTTAGGTGTGGACATATAGACACAGATGTGTGTGTGTGTATGTGAGTAGACAGAAGGTACCCACCTGCACTCAGACAAAAACAATTTTAGTCGTTGTCAACTCAAGATAGAAAAGATTAACATGTCTTTTGAAAAAATCGTAGTAAGAAGGTAGCTTAAACTAGAGGGTGTAGGTGAATGCGAGGCGAGGATGAGTATATCGAGAATCAAAACACATATTCACATCCTCGCACTTACATCTATACTCAAGGTGTGGTGATAAATAGATGGAAGAAATTTTGTCTATAATGCAAGAAGTTTTTAAGTAGATATAGGATGTGGCTGTGGATCCGGGATAGAATCGACCTGGATCAGTTCAGAAGTCAATTGGGGCTGTAAATGCCTGAATTTCATCGGCTGGACATGTGATTCCGATCGGCCAGACTAGACCGGTTTACCAATTTTCAACAGATTTGAGCCCTATTGGGGATATATTCTCTTAACCAATGATCACATCCACACTCAGTTAGGACTTTGTTACGTAATCCTTTTTTTTTTTGACTGTTAAAAATAGTTCGTATCGTAACGCTTTTAAAGATCTATAGACTATGAAGTAAACTAAATGTAGACGAAGGTTCATTAACATAAGAACTAACCAACAAATACAATACACATGAGTATTTTACACTCAAAATTTAAGCAATGAAAGATTTGTATACGATCTGGTAGACTGAAAAAAATATTTTAAAAATGCATGGTTCTATTAAGATAATGTAGCCTGAAGAAAGGGACTATTAGAATAACTTTAAATCATCGTTCACTTTTATTTATTATCCATCAAATGAATGCTTAGATTATTGACTACTTTCAATACTGTAACTGCCCACTTTGTATGTCATGAAAATAGGATCTGTTGACAGCTATTATAAGACGTAAATACCTTCAATTTTAGCATCAAAATAATCAGAAACTGATGATCTTTCATTGTATATACATAAATCAATAAGAGTACATCTTGAAAATTAAAAGGGACAAAAATGATTTCTTACGAGTTCCAGTCCTTTTCGTTTGAGATTGGATCTTTCATACTAATATCTTTTGTCACTTGATAAGATTTCAGCAAAATCGAAATACTTGATATTGTGATAACTATAACAAACATACACTCAGATCCCGTGTTATAACGAAATACCTGAACGAATTTAAGTGCGTTTTATTTTGGAGGTCTTGCCTACTTGGATGATACACTAATTATGGATTCAATACATTAGTTTCATCATCGGATGTCATGATTTCTGTTAGTTAATAGAAAAGGTGTTTGTTGGCTTTCAAATATAATTGCATCCAATCTATGAATGTTACATTGAAATTCAAAACAATGTTGTATCTTCTCATGGAAAACAATTTCATCCGGTTTTACAAAAAAAAAAAACGAAATCAACACACATTCAAGTCAAAATCTTGTGAAATGAAGATTCGATAAAGAATATCGATAGAAAAAAAGTCGAAAAATGAATTGAACAGCGTTAAATGGTTCTCCACTGAGAACGTTATAATTTTTGAAGTCAGCAAGAGAGATATGTTCAATGTTAAACTGTGTTTCGGAAATACTTCTTGTTTCCAGAAATATGGAAACGAAGTTGAATTGAAAGTTTTCCACTTCTAGTTCAGTTGTTTCTGTCATTTAAACAAAACAAAAACTCTTCTAGTTGGAAGATGTCAAAACCATTTCGAAGAAAATCTTGTTTTGATATTCTTTATTATTTTTTTAGATTTTCTCGAAATATATTTATTTTCATCATTTATTGAGTAATATTATCTGTTGCTCAAGTTGAATGTTCAACATCAATGAAATAAATTTTGAATTTAACAAAAAACTAGTACTTGTCACAATTCTAGGAAACATTTGCTTTTTCCTATTTAGAGTAAAGTTTTTAAAAAAAGTGAATGTATTAGAATGATTCTACCGAAAGTGTAGAGAAAACTTCCAATGGTATTTTTGTTGAACAGAAACTCTTTAAAATTCAATGAGAAAATTTATTTTTCACTATGAGAAATTAAGATTGTGATGTCCAATGAGAAAGAAGTATATTGGAGATTCTACACAATACGAATACAGATGACCCCAAACGGCCAACAGTATATCTGTTCACTTTGTTCTCTTGCTTTTCCACATAAAGAATGCCCGCTCGACTTTTCTCGATGTGTTTCTTCTATATATGTATGTGTGGGGTAAAAATAGTATTAAAATATTATTCTGATTTTCATACATGGAGAACAATGATGACAATGCGTAAGCTATGTGAAGAAATATTAGACATCGCGTAGAAAGAGTTCAATTTTGAGACTTAGATCACCAACATCTTTTTTAATTCGAGAAAACTACTATTTCAAGTAGCTTGTATTTTATTGCTAAGTATTTTTGCTCAGTAAAGAATTAATTTTACCATTGTAAATAATTTAACAACATTCGGTATATAATTAATTTTTGTTCAGTTTTTTATTCAGTCAAATTTGGATAATGAGTTGTAAGAAGAACATGTTCCATGGACGCTGGTTCAACAATGAGGCATTTCACATGTTTATGAATTCGAGGTAATATATAATTATAAAATCGACCAAGTATTGAATCAATTATTGTAGTGCTATGAATAGTTGATGCAGCATTAAGGATATTAGAAAAAGTCTCATCTCGTGTTATACTAACAGATCGTTCATTATTAATACCAGATAACAAATAAAGAACGTCAATATTGTCAAGTTTCTCCAAAATATTAAATAGTATCTCATTAGGTAGATCAAGACGATGAATACTAGGTCGATTCATGTTTAATATTGATTGTGACACTTTCGTCAATATAGATACCTGTATCTATAGGTAAATGTTGTTTGCTTATGCTTATGACCGTGACATCAATGAAGAATAGAATGGATGAACTTATTTTAAGAAGGGTTACATCAATGCATCGTCCAATGACATCATCGATGAATGCTATTTCTGTTTTCCACAAATTCTCATATATAAATCATCCTCACGTTGTGTTCATTTACGCGAAATGCTATGTTGTTTGTCGAACGACAATTTTTATTGTTCTTTGGGTGTGAGTGTGGGTAAAATGAAAAGAAATACCCAAACTCACACCCACAGCCCCCGTCCCTATTTTATGTGCTCTGTCGACAAATATTTTTCGGCGATAATTTGTCGACCAACAACATACTTACCATTTACACATACGTCGGAAAAACATGTCATGTTCAGAAAGGAAAATAAAATAAAATATGTTGAAAAATTAAAAACTGAGGAAAATTTTGTGTCTCGATGGTAGATAGGATTAATTCTTATTGATAACTTGCACGTTTCACTAACAAATATATATATGCGCTTAGTTCAGCTTATATGATTGAGAATGTTGAATAACAAAGTCATTTTTTTTATGCAAATCTCTAGAGAAATACGTTTTCCAAAGGCTCGAATCCGTTCATAATTGTATTGTCTTGAGGGTGCGAGTGTAACTGTTCTTCATTGTCCAAATTCACAACCACACTCACGTCGATGCCTTCAAGAATAGAATAAGCAGTCTAGTATACTCATCGACAAACTAATGTATGAAGTATGTGCACATCAGTCTATGTGTTTCATTCCTATATGTGATGTTTCATAAAGTTAATTCAATCGAAAAACTACTTGGAAAAGCTCGATCTCATGCAATTCGAGGAGGAGACGTCTGATATTTGACTTACTATTAGTACTCTCCAGGATTTATTCAGAAGAAAATTTTCATGAAATTCTGACATGCAGTTTTTGAGAAAAGCGGGACTTAATACGAGATTTTTTGAGATCCTTGATCCCTTGAGGCTTATCTATTTGGAGTGTAGAGTGCTTTGAAGAATTATGATACAATGTGTTTATATAAGAATAGTATAAGCTTCATTTTGATAATAATATGTTAGGATCTTCAATTCGAAGACTAAAATTTTGTAAGTAGTTCAATTTTAGCGTAAATCATCATTTTTCCAAAATGTCCCAATGCTTCCAAACAATAATATCAAGACAGAGAGATCTAAAAATCATTTTTAAGAGTCAAATTTTTATGCTCTATGTCATGGTGAGATCAAAACGTCTAAAGAGTGTTCAAGAAAAATGAAAATGATCGATTCTGGGTCCCAATTTTCGATTAAGTCGACTTTTGAAGTCGCTCTATTGGAGGTAGCGCATGATTTGAATTAAAACTAAACATCAGTTTCTGTATAATTCGATAAGAACTACAAAACAAGAATACTAAAATTTTGCTGGCAAAAATCGATGTAAATCTGGGAGGAGCTGCGTGGAAGTACCTGTATTGGTTCAAGCAAACTCTATAAGTCGATTCAAAAAGATTCTTTGTCATCAAGTGATGAAGTACGATGAAACTTCAAGTTTAGAAAGATGATTTCAAAGATTTTGTTTTGCATTACATACCTGTCCTATGTGAAACTAAACTTTCAGATGGTCAAGATCACTATTTGGGATGAAAATCGTGAGAATTTCAACGTAGTACGTCTTTGCTTCTTCGACAAAAATAACATGAGATTCATGAGCAAAATTGGAATCATGCATATAACGCATATAACTTGAAACGTTTATAACTTTTGCTAAAAAAATTTGCACCCAAGTCAACATGCGAAATATCACTTCTAACTATGCTCTATCTAACTAGAATACTCCCAGTCAACAATTTTTTTAGTAGTTGACAAGATTCCTTTGTGAGCCTAACAGCTCTACCCATCTATACTCATACCGCAAGCAAACAATGGAAAAAATCGCCCTAGTTTTCACACACTGTGACTATATGCTTCATAATAATCTGAGTATACTTTTTATCTGGAACCTCAATCATACCCTAGCAGATAGTGTGCTAAAAATGGAACAGATTGGTATGGTTCTCAGTACATATAAGCATCCTAGTGATCAGGACAGCACAAGGCCATGAGACGAACAGCCAGGATGAATTACGACATATAATGACAACATGATCCATTTCGATCCAAGTCAACTTGCATGTGGCTGGCGTGTGGCATTCACATTAGTAACATGTACATACGAGTTTCCTTACGAGATATGGCTCTTACTCACAACCATATCCATATCGTACAACTATACCCGAACGCAGCTAATGCATTTTCTGCATCATCCTATGAAAATTTTGATCGAAATTTTTTACTTGTATACTTCCAAGAAATCGTTGGCATAGAAATATTGCGTTTCAATTTCCTAGCATATCTTAATAACCTTTACAAATATATCTGATTGTGAATAAGTTTCAAGAGAACACTCTATTGATGAAAGCGCGACGTTTTTAGTATCAGTTAAAATGCCCTGAAGTCATGTACCAAGACCTTTATTATTGAAATTGAAAATTCAAGTAATACAAAAAGCATATGAAGAGGAAAGCATTAGTTCATCGTAATGCGTTTTAACATAAGATGTAAGCATATAAGCATAAAGTTATGGATAGTTTTCTTCTGAAAATAGCATTCTGATCACCGTTGTTCAATGACCGATGGTTGCACTGTTATTTTAGACTTGGCATGCCGAATTGAACTGGTAATTTGAACTGCTGCTGCAGCTACTTCATCAGTCCTAAAGGCGATCACATGTGAACCAAATGCTCCTCGAATTTCAACCAGCTTCGGTCCACAGAAATAATCACACAACAGGCATGGAATTGTACAAGTGATTACACTATTAATTATGTGACCTATCGACAATGGTCGTCTACGGGTCTGTAACAGATCAATATCTTGTAAGAAGGCAGTTGTATCAACAGTTAAGCCACCACAACAACAACAGCCTTTATCCTTTTCACGAACTATTAATCGACTGTCAGTCAGTGCAACAGTTGTTCGAAGTCCACAACCTGAACAACCTCCTCGATGTTCGTATACTCTGAAAGTACGTTCGTTGCCCGAGACGTTGAATATATTTTTGATCGCAATAGTCGAAGGTTGTACTGTGTGAATGCGTGACCTAAATGAAAAAGAAAGAAGTTCACTACTCTGTTGATAAATATGGACTCATGTTCTTACATTCTTCTCTTGCAAATTTAAGTCACTGGTTGGCTTGTGAAATACTGTCTTTAAGATGTACTGCTAATTTTACTGCTTCAATTGAAAATGAAAGAATGAAGCATACTGTTCAAACACTTTTAAATGACTACTTAAATCATCTTGTCTTATCTGAAAGTATTATCGTGTTTAATAATAAAATGAAGGTCTTTCATATTGATTCGACCATAAAAGTCTTAGAAATGAAAGTAAAGAAACCTGGAGATAAACTTTATGACAAACGTCCTCTTTGCGTATTTTTCGTGTTCTCAACGAATGCACCTTATTCAATAGACAGACATATAAATTTTAACGGAGAGATAGAATTTTCTGACATTGAAAGTCGACGAGCTCAAGTAAATGAACCTAACTATAATATTTTCAATTGACAAACAAAATTAGATGTCGAAGTGGAGAAAGTAATTAACAATAATGTAAGGAAAGTTAGCAGCCGATTCGAGTATTTTCCACGACGATTCGCCTGAGTAACTAAGCCACAAAAGAAAACTAGTAAGCCACCTAGAACTCGACGAGCTCTATCTAATGGTGTCATCAGATCCTACGAAACTCCCACCTGAACGCCAAAAAACCCAAAAAAAATCAAAAACACCCATAGGAAAAAATACGCAAAAACTACCATTTTTCGTAAAAACCATGACGATTCGCCTGAGTACTTAAGCCACACCTGAGTCATACGTCAATTAACTCAGAATTTCATGCTCTATCCAATGGCATATAAATCATCTCCATAGAACTCCTCTATACCAGACTGGCAGCTTCGAAAGTCTCAAAACACGGTTTTCGAAAGTATTACCTCTGACGATTCGCACAGAAACTTAAGCCACTTTTGAAAACCACACCATTCGATGCAGAATTTCAAGCTCTATCGAATGGTGTAAGTCTTGCATGCCTCACCATCAATCATAGAGGGTTTTCACACCAAAAACCACCGGAATCCGGAAAATTTGGAATTTCTACCAATTAACTCCTCTGACGATTCATTCTGGTACTTAAGCCATCGACGAAACATATACCATTCGATGCAGAATTTCAAGCTCTCTCAAATGGTGTACAACTTGCACGGCTGCCCATCAGTCACAGGGAGTTTTTGCCCCCAAAACCTTCAGAAACTGGAAAAAACTGAAATTTCTAACCATGAATTCCTCTGACGATTCGCTCAGGTGCTTAAGCCATCGACGAAACATATATCATTTCATGGAAAGTTTCAAGCTCTATCGAATTGTGTAGGAGTTGTAGCGCTGATGACGAGCCATAGAGGATTTCGAGTATTAAAATATTAAAAGGGCGAAACGTTGAATTTGTACTCATCAATGTCCCTGACATTTCGTTCAGATACCTAAGCCACCCGCGAAAGATGTACTAGTTGATACCAAATTTCAAGGTCTATCGAATCGTGCGCAACTTGTACGGTTCACTATCAATGAGATGGGGTTTTTACGGTAAAAACTTTGAAAAACTGCGAAAAGGGGGATGACTATTGATTAGCTCCTGTGACGATTGGTTAAGGCACTTAAGCCAACGGGGAAACTTGCAGAAGTCAACTGAGAGTTTCGCGCCGTATCTATTGGTATATATCTCGCATGGCTGAATACAAACGAGATTCCACTTCGAAGGTCAACTGCTGAAAAGTCGCCAAGGTTGGTATTTCTCTCTAGTAATTCTCGCGGTGATTGCTTGTCGGAAATAAGCCNGTTCGCGAACCATTCTTTCGACAACTAGTTATAGCTGCGTGTCTTAATTCAGTACAAGATCTACTTCGGCGAACACGTATTCGTGTTCCACGTAATAAAGCTAGAAATATGTTTGGCATTATAGATGAGTATAATGTGTTAAAACCGGATGAAGTTTTTATTCAATACACTCAACTTAATGATCGTGACAATAAAGATGAGAGTAGTATATATCAAAAAACAAGAATTCTTGACAATTGTAAGGTTGTTATCACAAAAAATCCTTGTCATCATCCGGGTGACATTCGAACATTTACTGCTGTCAAACATGAAGTATTGAAACATCTTAAAGATGTCATTGTCTTTTCACAGCAAGGTGACTGTCCACCACCTCATCAGATCAGTGGATCTGACCTCGACGGTGATGAATATGTAGTGATATGGCATGAAGATCTTGTTCCAACTCAAAGTCATAATGCTGTACCATATGATTATGACTCGCAGAATGTATTGCAAGTACTCTCACGACCCATTGACCGTGAAGACATTATGGATATTGTATTGAAAATAACTGAGAGTGATTATTTAGGACGATTATCTAATTTACATTTGGCATATGCTGATCTTTACGGAGTCGATAGTAATAAACGACCGCAATCAGATCTCTTATCAACAATTGAACTTGCTGGAGTGATCAGTCAAGAAGTTGATAGTGGAAAAACTGGACACCACCCATTAAATGACATGCAAATAATGAAACAAAAAAAAGCATTAGGAGATAAACGACCAGATTTCATGGAAAATGCCAATATGAAATCATATCAATCACAAAAAATACTAGGTAAATACACATTTCATTTGAAGTACTATGTAGATAATAAAATCTATTCCATAAATTTCTCTTTCGTAATTATAGGAAAACTTTATCGTTCATCACGTCGGATGTTGTATGGATGGAATAGACTTCTTAAACAACATCGTCATTTGCGTCAGTTACAAGTTCGAACTCCAGAAGATAATGAAAATGAAATAGATGATGAAGAAATACAAGGACAAGAAATTTTATTGGATCCTTCTTTTCTTGATGCAATACCATCATGGCAAGATCAAGAAATAAACGAAATAGCATCTCAATTATTTTATGTTTATCGACAAGAAATGCTTGAAATTCTCAATTTATATGGACTTTCACATGAAAGTGATTTATGGTGTCGAAAATCAACCAATACTACTGGTGGAGAACTTGAAGACACTGCTTATACACAACTCAAACAACTTGTTGTACGTACACGTGATGCTTTCTTCTTACGGTTACTATCATTCTGTCCTAAAAAAGTAACTATTTGTGACGGAACTACGCCTTTTGAAAATTGATGTGAATATTGCAAAGAATTACATCATAAAGTAGCTGCTGCATTATATCTAGAATGTTATAATGGACAGAATGAATTAGAACGAGCACCAATTCTAAGCTTACCATGGTTATTTACAACTGCACTTTTGCATCCACGCCCGAGAAAATTACACTCAATCGAAGGATTACTTAGCCAAGCGATGATAAATATATTCACGGAAATGAATATTAACCACTTATTACAATTAAGAGGAACAACAGTGACCTTCCGTACATCGACGAATCATCAAGTTGAAATAAATCTAGATTGGACTGTTTGTGTTTTTGTTGAAATTCTTCATTATTCTCTCAAATCAAAGCCTTTTACTTCATGGCTAAGATTATTAAGTAAAGTCATATATAAAATATCTTCCACGTCACATTACAATGGAAGTGATGATTTATTATTGATCTTTGATCACGGAGAACTGGATGATGAATATGCTGCCATAGTTTTATCATTGGCATGGAATGAAAACGGTGATGAATTAATTCATTCATATTTCATTCAATTACTCGAACTTTGCTTTGATCTTGGGAAAACTATTAATGATGAAAACAATGAATATCTTAAAATAAGCGAGGAAATCATTCTAATACTTCAATCAATGGCAATTGGTGAAAAGTCATCGTCAACGAATCGACCGTAGGGGAAGTTAGCAGCGAATCCGAGTAGGGTGTGGGTATGAATATGAGGGTGTGGAGAAATAAGAGATCCACATCCACCCACCCCAACACCCACACCCTTCAAATATTCTTTTTTCTTCAGTATAAAACGATCATTCATCATGAACTCATATTTTATTAATCTAAAAGTTTTTAATTCAATACAACCTTCACTTTTCAAACATATATATATATATTTTAGTCATTGACATTACTCTATCACCTAGAATAAAATCATAACGATCAGAATATTTATTCTGACGAAAATTCTATGTAAATCTACATCCACTCACAATTCCAACTGTTTTATTCGACATTTATATCAAGTTCGAATTAAAATAATCGACTCAAAGAAGAAAAAAACGATCCATATTGAAAATCTATCATCGAAAAAGGATATATATTATGAAATACATTAAAAACGAAAAGTATCGTTCGTATATGAGATTATGCATCTAAAGATGAATCATGTAGACGAAAAGCATAGATTATTATAGAATAAACCAACAGAAACAATTTTATTAAATTGATTTAAACGAACAATTAAATAAAGAGAATGCATATCGATTTTAATTGATGAATGATTTCAATGTTGCCTTAAATAATCTATTCATTATAATAAAACATAAGATTTATAAAATAATTTCTTCTAAACGAGAATAAAATCTGGTGTTATAGAAATAATATTGATTTTATCATTATTGTCTATTTAATTTATTTCTGATAAATATATATAAACCATTCAATAAATTAACTGAAATATATTTTCCAAAATATTTATAATCTTTATAATCCTAATCATCTTAGAATTATCTCAAATATTNGGAAATATTTTGCACCTATTTTAATATGAATCTCGATAGGGGCTCGTTTAAGAACATCCAAGATATCATAATAATGCCAAAAGAAAGGCTCTATATTGGTAAGTCAGGAAAAATCAGGACAATATCAGGATTTTTGGTCAAAAACAGGAAAATCAGGACAGTCTTAAAAAATCAGGAATAAATCAGGAAAGTAAACACGCTGCGAGGCCTGTCTTTCGGATGAATGCAACAAATTGGTCGACCTACTCTATCGTGACCCATGAAATAAGTCTTGCCTGTTGTAATTTCTTCTTGAGAAATAGCTCTTTCATCATTAGCTATAAGCTCTTGAACGCCCCAGTCATGTCGCCACTTAAGTGTCTGTATTATTTGACTAACACAAATGTTAACATTCCATTTACGAGAACGAAGCCATCGAAGTATAAGTACATCTGGATTATCATAGCCGACTGCACGAAATAATTCATCTCCATAGACAGAATCAGCAATCTGCTTGCTTTGCAACGATGTTTCCTTGCTTATAGCATCGATTAAAGCTATCCATGTTTGTTTAAGTGCATTTGTGTGTGCTCTGCCGAGATTATCTAGTACAAAATTCAGGAAAAAATGCTCCTAAATCTCATTAACTTACTAATATGTCCAAAATCATTCGATGTCATTAACTTAACGTTCAAGAAAAGCTACGAACTGTGTTTAATGACGATGAAGACACTGAAAAAACAAAAGATTGATTTGCGTAAACTGGTGTTACAAGTACAAAAAAGTCATTCATTCTTTTCATAGCATACGTCAGATTAATTTTAAAAAAACTTCACGTATGCTATGGAATAATGGACGCAGTACAAAATTTCGAAATTTTTTTTATTTCGATACGCCAATCACGCTTACTCATTTGTGTTCTTTGTTTATATGATTTTTAGTCAACTGATATATATGCAGGTGTGTAATTACATTAATATATTCATATTGGTCGTTGGATCTGCTCATTCATCCGTATGATATTTCATGACGATGCAAAAAAGCACGTGAATTGAAAAAACATTTTTGTCTTCTTTTTCTCATATATTGCAATGCTTCTACGTGGGCTGAACTAGAGCAGATGTAGCTAACAATCCAGTAAACTTCAAAATAGATCTGACTAGAAACTATTTATTTACCAAATTCAATGACATAATACTTCCTTGAGGAAATCTTTTACTTCAAAATAACAATAATCTTCGAAAAGATTTGCCAATTCTTATCGAAGCAATAGTCAACAAGACTGTACTTAATGGAAAAGATTTCTTTTAAATCAGCAGAATGACTAATTCACATTGTTGAAAAACGTTGTTTTTTTCTTTGTTGATTGTATCCTCTCGTTTTCAACAGCAACGTTACATAGAAATAGCCTCCGAATACGGAAATGTAAATTGTTTATCTTTGAAGTGATTATGTTGTTACAAAGCATTCAAGTCATAGACACAAAAATAAATTCGAGTTCTAATGATCATACTTCACCTGACATCTTAGGGGGTGGGTGTGGGTTGGTGGAAAGAAGACATACGCACCTGCACCCACACCACACCCAGCGAATTGCTCAATGAAAAAAACAAACATATTGCATACCTTGATTTTATGAGTATTCTTGTCTATGAACATATATCAAAACTATGTTCACACATACATCATTCGATAGAGCTTCGCACATCGCATCGATTGAACTGTGTTGCCGTAGTGGATCAATAGCTGCAATATATCATCGAAGGTGACACGATGTGAATCCTATCTGGAAGTTTTTCGGAAACCTTAATAACCAAAATTTTATTTTTTGTCGAATGGAACATATACCAACCGATAGAGCTCGTTGAGTTGCATCGAATGAGTCAAGATTCAGATGTGGCTCAGTTCGTAGAGCGAATCGTCAGAAGAAAAGCGTTTTTTTCTATGGGAAAAAATGAATGTCTTTGTTTTCATTTGGGCTACTAAGCTTTCAGAGAAAATCTGAATATATCATTCGATAGAGCTCGTCGAGCTGCTTCTGGCTCACTCAATGTGGCGAATCTTTTTGCGAAAAACTCGAATCGGTTGCTAATTTCCTTTACATGATTTATTTAAAAATATAAATAATTTAATTTATTTCGATTTTATGACTGAGCAGTAATTGATAAAGAAGCTACATATGTTTCATAGAGTCTTCGATCAACATCTGACGGTTCAAAATGTCTTTGATGAGCTACCGGTACTGATCGTTCATAAATTCGAATAGCATCATCACTAACGATTGGCTCATTAAACATAGATATTAATGATTGTTGTAATGGTTCTTGTTCCATTTGTTGCTGTTGTTGTTGTTGTGCTAATTTTGATCGTTCATTTATAAAAGGTGAAACACTAAGATAAAAAAAAACAAGGGTTTGAGTGTAGATGGGTGTGGATGAGTGTCGGTATTGATATCGGTCTTCCTTCGAACAAAACCCACATCCACCCACACCCACAGCCTTAGCGGTCGTAGTTTTTCAAGCCTGTTATCTTCGATTCCTCCTACGCTAACAAAATTGTCACTTTTTAACCATCGAATAACAGAATCAAGTTTGCAAACAATGGTCACTTTTTTTGTTACCAACAAAACATTAAGAAATCTTGGCATGTCTGACAATCTGATGTTTGGAGTATCGTTTTGGGAGAAAGACAATAATTCTTGCTGGTCACAAGCAAGTCAAGTTTCGAGACAAAATAATACTTGTGAACTTGCTTAAGAGTGTCGTTTATGTCTTTGCTTTTTGCGCTAATAATATTCGCTTCTTAACGTAGCCGTATATAACTAACTATATTCGGTTTTTCAAGTAAAATAATCTTTTACTAAAATTACTCATTAACTTGTATCTATAGCGCGAGAAGTTTCGTCGTTATAAATGGCGACGTAGTCAATTCACTATATACATAGATCACAGACCGAAATGGGTTTGGTTGAAATTACGGCTGGGCAAGGCAAGTCGAGGTTAAAGTTAGGGTTTGCGTTTAGGTCACAGAAAGAACAAATCACCCACACTCTGTGGACATATGTTTAGCAATATTATTTTCTCGTACTTTTTTTAGTTTGTTCATCGTGTTAAGTCAACGTGTCCATCTGTCGTATGATCATTAATATCGAAATATTTTATAGTCGGATAAAGAACGATTCTTCTAATATAAGATACCGCCATTAGGAAACAGTACGCAAAATATTACACAGTTAAATCTCTGTATCTAAACACTTCATTACTGAGAATGATGATCTATTATTTAAAATTCATTACAATACAGTAGAAATGAACTTTTTAAAAAGAAAGAAACAACAGAATGTAATCTACTTGCTCCTAGACTCATTTGATTAAAACTACATGAAAAACTGCTGGTAAAATGGCAATCAGCTGGTGATAGTTTGCTGTTTAAATGATCACCTATACTCTTACCGGCATTCTATTACAGAATATCGAAGATTGTTTTCTAACCACTGTTCTATTGCTGGTAAATCGGTCCTAGTGCAAAAAACTGTGCAATACAAATGCTGAATGTTGATAGAATGCGAATACAAAGACAAAAAAAAAACTATGTGTACGTTAGTATAACAACAAATATAGAAAGTAACAATAATTCTTACCAGAGCCTCCAATATTATTCTCGTCGATATTAACAATATGAACCAGTGCTATCATTACAAATTTACTTAGCCTGATACAAAAAAAACTTCAATTCAGAAAAATCTTTTAATATTATGAAATGTATATAAATTATCATTGGGATCTATATTTTCTTTGTAATTTCAGCTCGATTATGCATATTAAATGCAGATATACAGACGAAGAAGGAAACATTAAAACAAAAAACAGAAGACTCTTTCTTTTCACTAACAAAAACGGTTTTGAATTAAAAGTCTACTATTGATCTAGCTGCTTAGCATTCTCTCGTCTACTTTTTTTTGTTTCTACACCTGCATATAATCAATTCATTTAAGTATGTTGAATATATAAACTTTTGAGTTAAATGAAAAACGAATCATTTGCTTCTCTAGAAAGTGTGACATAAGCGCTGAAGATTAATAGATCGGTACTTAATTTTGAAAATGTATTTCAATGAACATTTTATGTGATAACCTATAAGTTTTTTTAGAAGCCTTGATATGCAGTAAAACTACTTGAAATGTGCAATGATAAAAATCCTTAAGCAAATTCTTTTAATACGAATTTGTGTTATTAATCTTTCAAACAACATATTTTGTGAACATAAACTTTTTATTATCAACGAACTTGTTCTTTTTCTTAAATTTTTTACAACAAAGTGCAAAACAATTCTACGTAAAAAATAACATATCGTTTATTTAATCGATACTCATCACAATCCATCATATACAAGTTCCAAGCTACGTACTTAGCAATCAGTTTTTGAGACGTATGTATGTGAGCAAGATAAAGATTATTGTTCACATCAATACCCACATCGTATCATTAAAGACAATGCCTTTATAAATCCCTATTTTAAATAAGAAGATCGATATGTGTATAGATTATAGCTTTTCAATGACCTTGAATCAAAGCCTACATTATTGTTTGATCTAACAAAAAATAATCAAAATATTCATAATCGAAACGGAATCAACTTATATTTTATTAGTAAACAATGATTATGTTAGCCTAATACAAAATTCATTCTTAAATATTAATTTCAGTTATTTAGTTAACAAATGTGTAATATCAGAATATTTTTTAGTCTTTGGACCACCAATCGACATTCGAATTTGCTAATATTCTTCTCCTTGTCGATATGTAAAATGATGCATGGCGAGACGATATGAATTATCTTCTAACCAATAAATACGAAACTTTTTAATGAAGAATTCCAAATATTCACCTTCTGAAAAGTAATCACATGAGAATAGAAAATTATCAATATGATCAAATTGATCTATAATATCAAGCATCATATCTTTTGAATTAATTGGAATTTCAAGAGTTTTAACATTTTGTGTTATATGCCAAAGATTATTAATAGATAACGATCGAAAATCAACATCTAACCTAAGAGTATGAATTTGTGATGGTATGTCAAATAATGGATTATAATTCATAATAAGATAATTTAATCGAGGACAATGTTTTATTAATATATCAAGTTTATGTCTTGATAATGATTCAACAGGAAAAATATCAAGTGTTTCTATTTGATTAAAATCTATTATTGTGTTAAGAACATCTAATAACATAAATGTTGAGCCACAAAGTATTAATGATTTGACTTGTGTAAAACGATGAATCGGTGGTATTATAAATTTATCCATGTCGATGAATAAAGAATCAATTTTATTTTCATAAAATAAATATTTTTCCATATTCGATGGTACTGTTGTTATCGGTGGGAAATTAGATGAAGGATAAATAATATCTTTGAATCGAAATCGAGGTATTGTATATAAGAATGTTTGTCCATTCTCTTCATCATTATGATATCCAATATAGCAATGTTTTTCTTTGAGCCAAAATGATGAACGAAATGGTTCGAATAATATTGATACATCTTTATTATGATTGAAAATTTGAAATTTAAAATTGAATATAATAATATTTGTTTTTAAAATAAAAATTTTCCATTGATTACCATCAATTAAATCATTTCTACCACCTTGCTTGAAGTGTTAGATGTGTTAATTGATGTAAATTAAAAAGACATTGTTCAAGAAATTGAAATGATACAACAATATCTACGATATAGAATAGAAATATGTACAATAGAATATTTAAATATTTATTTGTTTTACCTTCGACAAAATGAAGTGTAAGATGAATAAGACAATGAGAAAATTGTTCAAGATTTATTTTCATATTTTTATTTTCTTTATCAATAAAAATATAAAGATGTGTAATTGAACTTTCGAAATTTTGAAAAACTGAAGTAAAATTAATATTTTCATACTTATTACTAAATCGAACATAACAATCTTCATCAGGAATAAAACCACCATCAATTGTCAAATGAGTAAGAAATGGAAATCGAACATTAATATGATTAAGTGTACCAATTCTATCAACTTTTAAATGAGTTAAAACTTTTGCTTGTTGTATAAGTAATTTATCAAAATCAAAAGGAATATTTTTATAAATATCATATTTTCTAAGTTCAAGACATTTAACAGATTCTGGTAAATCAATTGTATAGGAAAATATTTCAATGAACGTTACAGATTGAAGATGAATAAATTGATGTTTAAACAATGGAAAATGTTCTTCAAATATTTCAACTTGATGAGGTATAGTTTCATCAGAAAATATAATTGAGATGATTTGTTTTGGTTGTAAATGACAACAAATATAATTAAATTCTAATTGAGATATTGATCGAAAATTGAGATGAAGTGGATATGAATAAACAATAGTATTAAAACGATCCGTGAGATTAATAAATGATCGAAATAAATCATATGGTGATAGATATTCAAATATATCAAATAGAAGTTCAGTTGAAAAAGATTCAAGACATGAAATCATATCTAGAAAAAATAACAAGTACGATTTTTCTTATTAATACTCAATTTTTCAATATATAAAATTCAAATTGGATGTAAAATCTACCTGATGCACGTATTTGAGAGAAATATATGATAGTATGTATTCAAATAATTCTTATATTTTTAGTACTTAGTGAAAGATAATCAAGAGAATAAATCAAAAGAAAAAGTATAACGGTTTGTTTCTTGTCAATGCAATAATACAAAATAGACGAACGAATAGTGAAAACGAACCATGTGCCACGTTGCTTTCTATTCTTTTGTTTTTCGATCTTTATTATCGTGAAAAGAAATCCAAACGAGACACAACACTACAATTTGATGGAAAAGAATAAAATGATTTTGATTAAATATAGTGATTGTATCAGAGAAAAAGAAAAAATAGGAAAGGCGTAATTGTCTCACAGACTCCGCCTGATCACAAAACTTTAAACATTCTCGCTCCTTCACCTATTCTCTTCAACTTTCGAATAATATTTTTTCATCTAAGGATATTTACCCCATTTTGTAAAAAATATCTTCAAATTTGTATAAATCAGCGAATTTCTTCAGAAGAATGGGTTATATTTTTTTTAATGCCTGATGGCTGCATATATATATAGAATAGGGTGTGGATGTGAATGCGGCTTAAAACAAGATGAACCTACACTCACACCCACACTCTTCATATCGAAGATAAGAATAATGTAATTTTGAATAATGCAAATGTTTAATATGTTCATCTTCACTACCTGGATCTTGTAACTATGAACGCGTCGTGTCAACTCGTGCGCTTTGAAAACACGTTCCAGTTTGGTTGGAAAATTTAGCATCAAGATGAAACATGATTTCTTGTTTAAATGTAATAACATTATCACCATAATAACTACCATGATGTGACCCTAATATACTGAAAACAAGTTTATTTATATCTAGGAATTAATGTAGAAGCTTTTTTAATCCGAATGCTTTATTCTATAATAATAGTTTATGATGTTATAAAGTATATGCAACGAAATATTTTACCGCTACAAGTTTCTCTCTTCTTTGATTGTCTTGTTTTCTTGTGTTGTAACATATGTTTTAAAGTCCTGATATTCGGTTGAAAATGATCGTATAAGATCAAAAATTTCCTTACTATTATAGAATAAAACATTTTGATTAAGAAAAACTTCTACATTTACTTATTTATTAGATATTGAATTTAAATCTCATGTACTATTACTTTCATACTTTTCTTATGCTGTTAGAAAATTCAGTTAGAGTCTTTGAAATTGTTTTCGATAATGCATCTAAACATTATTCTAAATGTTCTTATATAGTTTTCTTTTATTTTCATACGTTTTTACTTATTATGAGATGTTTTTCGTGTTTACAGATGTGTTCTAAATAAATATATTTAAGAGGTTATTTCAATCAAATATCAATTAGTAGATTGAATGTTTCAATGGGTGTTGATGAAGACAAGTCGAAATATTTGCATGGATCATAAAAGAGATTGTGGATGTTAGTGAAGGCGATCTATATGCAATTTAGCAAACTTGAGTATTAGTGCTATCAGCATAAATTACGAATGCTCTACAGAAGACGATACGTCAGGAAAAGAGATTAGATAGATGGTATAGTAATCTTTTCTGTAAGAATGATGCTCAAACTTTATCTGTTCCAGCTCAAAACAGCAAATCATTGAGTTTTTGTCAATGAGTTTGCATTATGAATTGATTCACCGCGAGCATTTCAGAATAAGTAAATATTTGACGATTATTACAATAAAGTTGGCTTTCTGGATTATTCTTCATCACGAAAGAACAAAAAATCACAACTTCTGCTACTGTAAATTTGAGAGAAAACTTCACTCAAACAATGTAAATACTTCAACTATAAGTTATGATTTAATTTCATGTGAAAAATCAATGAGAAAAATTGAATAATCTTTTTCTAAATATGTTACTCTTTTAAGTATAGGAGAATAAGATATTTTCATTGTTGAGAACATAAAATGATATAATATATTTTCGTTTATAAATCAAATGTAAGTAGAACTTTTTATATTTTGCACCAGAGTGCTTGAGATCTTGTGTGAAAAAGTCATTCGTTTTTTTCTTGAATGCTGTAATTGAATACAAATTTAAATTTGACAAATAACTTAAAAATTTTATAATTTCTATTTGAAAACGTGATGAAATTTTTTGAAATGCAAACAGAATTTTGTTTCATAATAGTTTCTCTATAGAAAATATACATGATCATACTTTTTAAAGGAACTATCACATTCTTTTATGTCAAAGAAAAATAAAACCATTGGTAAATGTTAGATTTACAACATTTGACATTGAAATAGAAAATATCTTTTTTTTGAAATATCACATTTTTCGAAGTAAACAGAGCTAACCATGTACAACTATATCAATAACAACGTAGTGTATACAGTGACGAATTTTATATATGTTAATAACTAAACGATTTGTTTTTCTAAATAGTTATAATAAATAGAATAAATATGATGTTCATTATTTTCTAACTTTTTAGTTCAATAGTTTACGTTTCGAATTTATCCAAAATACTCGAAGCAAATTCAATACATAAACATATACATCGCATCAAAAAAGCTTGTAAAATAACTCAACATATTATAATTCTGTATCATATAATATCAGAAGCAAGTCAAATTAAGCTGACATTAAAACACATAGCTTCTTTTTCTGCTGAGCTAGTCAGACTTTGCTCTAAATGATCATCTCACGATGCTTTACGGTATGATTAAGAATCATTCTATAATAATATTATATTATTCAGATTCCAGAAATAATAAAAAAGACAAATTTTTAACAACATAAAACTGATTCGATTTCAAGGCTTATCAACAAATAATGGATTACCAAACACTATCTACATCAGATAATGAATTGAATTCAACGTGGCTATTCGATTGGATGAAAAACATGGAACGATTTACAGTTATATCGCTTCATTGTGATGCGAGCACACGGAATACTGATCATAGTAAATATATACGTGCTCAACAATTACGTGATATTGTTGATTGTGGAAAATATATCAGAAGGTAAGGATAGTCTTCAAAATTCTTGTGTAACTCATTACATGATTGGTTACCATGTCTGTAGGAATCTTTTTTAATTTTAATTTGCGCTCAATCGATAACGAATTTTTTTTTCAAGGTCTTCCATGTGTTTTGTTGTGGATGTGGAAAATTAAAGTATAGGTTAATTTTCACGGCTTCCAATTTAAACGAAAAATAATCTCTATATCGATTTCACAAAAAAGTCGGTTCTATGTGAGTGGAAGTATAGATTCTTCATACATTCTCTGAGTTTTTGCCGCCAGGAAAATAACTATCTGGTCAACATGTGTGAAAAATTTTTAAGTTTTTTTCTATTATCGATGGCTGACACGACAAAGTTTACAAGTTCGAGATCAAGTTCGAAAAATTGCTGTTAAGGCTTCTTGCAATAGTCAAGTTGTTTAGCGAGTTCAAACTCTAAGGTGTATGCGGACAAATGAAAAAGAGCCTGTTCTATCCTGTCAGATTAAAAAAAGAAGATTCATCATCATGCCAAGAGTTAAAGGATTCCAAAAAAATCTTCTTGATAACCGTTTTCTTATACTTCTAGTATTACATAGTGGCTCAAAACCCTCATGATTTGGAAATTCATTTGAGGCGAATAAAATATTGGTTATTTTAGAAGTAGGTGTATGAATACTATAATAGTATAATACTTTCCAAAAATAAATTTGAACAGTCATTCTAAATGGAACTCAGAATATACTCATAACAATCAGCTATCAACGAGAATATTGAATTATCGGAACGAGTTTTATGCTATTGAGAATCAATAAATCATGTAACAACAAATCAAATGTAGTCGATAAAAGAATTCTTTATCAGATTTTCAAATCGACTAAAGATCATTAAATATGATTATTTCTTCAATGTCATTATTCATTCTAACATAAATTCAGATTCATGGCATATTTCTATACATACAATCGAATTATTTAATCAATTGTTGGTCGATTGATTAATTGTTTGATTTTAGAAAAAAACTACGCAAAACTATGATGACAATTTATGGTATCTATTATTCATGCATATAGTTGTTAATAATCGTACTTTTCCACAAAATGAGTATCAACATCAAGCACTAATAGAAAAATGTAAAATATATTATCAAGATAATCAAAGTCGAAAAAAAATTGATAGACAAATTTGAACGAACATATGATGCTGAAAATGGTATGTAGTGGTATACATAGTCAGGTTTTCTTTTCAATATTTTGAATAAAGTATTTCGTCAGCAATATATGAACACAATGTATTACTTTCGATTTTTCATATCTGATTTATATCGGGAGATTATGCATCAAATGGATAATATAGGAACAAATCAAGATTATAATAGACTGTAATACAGAGGACAACATGTTATTGTGGTTAGTTTTTTCTTTCGACAACTGCTGATGTTAATGTTGCAAAAGTTTTTGGTGATGTGGGCTCTGTTAAATCAAATGAACAGATTCAATCTGTTTTATTTCAAATTGATATTCATGCAAAAAAAGAATCTTGTCAAATGTATGCCGATATTTCAAGTTTCAGTCAATTTTTCGATGAATTAGAAACATTATTTTTAGCTCGTACAATATTTTATATTAGAAATATTGTTTTTATCTCAATGAAAAACTATTGGATAGTTGAATTCGTTTTATCACATGAATGACCTATGACTATTCGAAATATTTTTGCATCGCCAATTTCTTTCGATGTCAAACTTTTAAAATTAGTCTTGATTTCTCATAATCATAGCTCAACAGTTCTTGAAAAATTAGAACAATACTACAATACTCCACTGAATGTAGGTCCATTAATTGATTGTATATTTAGTTTTATTTTCTCTACTTTATTAACTGAATGTACACAGAGCCCAAAAGAAATAGTTGAAAGGTTCATTTCTGGTAAAAAAAAATTGATAATTATTCTCGATT